AGGGCAGCTCTAAGGGCCGCCGATCATGCTGCCAACTCCAGGAGGAGGGGTGCAGGGGAGGCGGGAAGCCAGGACTCAGGCCGGAGGTGAGACCGGCTTGTGCTACAGAGCGTTAAAGCCCCAAACGACCCTGGAACATTTGGGGCCTCTGCTCAAACTCACGTCTACAGAAAGTGCTTTGCAGAGGCGCCAGCAAAGGTGGGGCACGGGCTTCCGAAACTAGACTGTCCTGGCTCTGGTTTGGGGCGGGCCCAAGCCTTTCAGGGACTCCGGGGGGCGCCCTGCCGCTGGAGTCGTGGCTCGGGCCGCCGCTGCCGGGAGGGGGCGCCACGGCGCTGCAGAGCCTGCCGGGCTTCGGGCCGCCGGCGCAGAGCCTGCCCGCCAGCTACACGCCGCCGCCGCCGCCCTTCCTGAACTCTCCGCCGCTGGGCCCCGGCCTGCAGCCTCTCGGGCCGCCGCCGCCCGCCTACCCGTGCGGACCCGGCTTCGGGGACAAGTTCCCGCTGGACGAGGCGGACCCGCGCAACAGCAGCATCGCCGCGCTGCGCCTCAAGGCCAAGGAGCACATCCAGGCCATCGGGAAGCCGTGGCAGGCCCTCTAGGGGCACCGGGGACCAAATCGGGCCAGAGGACCGTCCCAGGAGGCGAATCCGAGCCGCACGCGCGCATCCCTTCTCCCTGGGTCCCCCCACTCGGCCACTCTTTCCCTGTGCCGCCTGCGAGCTGCGGGCTTGGGTCGCGGACGCGCGTCTGCTCCTGACTCTCGGGGGAGGGCTGACTCTCAGGCCTGCGGAGGTCCTCTGGCCACCTCCAGACCCCCACGGACCCCCAGCCCTGCTGCTGGAGAGGGAGAGGCGGCCCGGCCCCGCCCGCCACGCTGCTCCCACCCCCGCGGGCGCCGGAGCCTCCACGTCGAGAGACCCAAAGCGCCTGACCTCAGCCGCTCCGGGGCCGCGTGGCGACCCCAGATAAAGAAAACTGAAAGGAAGGGGAGGTGGAGAAATAGAGTTTGAGGAACTCTTTGTATAAGTAGTTTCAAAGTACTTGGGAGGAGAATTAAAGATTTACTTATTTGGGCTTGATTCTGGTTAAGCGCGCTCAGGACTGCGTGGGGGGGTGGGCGCGGTGTGCTTGTGAATGGGGGTGCAGGAGGGGCTGCGGTGATGGGCCGGGTGGGTCAGGGAAAGCAGAGGACGCGCAGGAGCTGGGGCTACCTCGTGCGAATCCTCCCACCTTCCCCAAGGTGAGAGCTGAACGTCCTGAAGCCCCTGACAGCCCTGCCTCTCTCTTTCCAGCCCACCGCGGCCCAAGGCCCCTTTCAGATCATTGTCCAGGTTACCGGCTCAGTGCCAGCCCCCGCTACCGAGGATTGATGACATTAGTCCTCCGAACACTAGGGCACAGCGACTTTTCCTTTTCTGAGCCCCGTGCCTCTCTCTGGTCTCCCCAACCCGCTCCGCACCCCCCAACCCAACGGTTCTGTTTAACGCGCGTCAGGTTAGCTGTCGCGCTCGGGGAGAGTGCCCTGGAGCGCTCTGCGCGGCGACCCGGAGGGCACATCTTGAGCGCGTCGGGGACAGTATCTGCAGTTCTCTGGCCCCGGATCCGGGGCGGGGAAGGAATCCAGAGGGCCCCGCCAGCTTCAGAAACTCCCGCGGTCCTCGCGGAGTCCCGGGTGAAGGAGAGCCCGGGACTCCCAGCCTGAGCTGCCGCGGTATCCGCGGTTGACTCTGCAAGCTGGGCCGCCGCCCTAATAGCCCGGATTCCCGCCGCGCAGGTCCTCTGGCCTCCTCGCTGTGAGTGCGCCCCGGAAGATGCGGCCAGAGCCTTAGCATCAACCGGCTACCGTCTATCGGTCGTTAAGTGAACCGCCCCAGCCCCCTTTCCTCGTCTAAATGAACCCTCCTTCCCTGGGAGGTGACAAAGATAGAATGAGATCACCGGCTTTGTGTGAACTACCAAGGACCCGGTTTGAGGCGATGCTCCTGCTTCTCTGACTGCGCAGTGGCCCTGTGCTGCCCTAGGGTTCCTGAGACCTGCTTGGGAAAAGGATGACTATCCCAGGGCCGGGGGTGGAGGGAGTGTCATCCCAGGATTCAGGCCTTCCCATGCGGGTCTGAAGAGGCTATGGCATAACCCGGCTGTGGACCCCTAGCCCCTCACCTGGTGCCTTGCACATAGTAAGCTGGTGGGTAAGAATTGACTGAATCTGCTATTTCCCCCAAGAAGTGGGGAGTAACACCCGCACTTTCCCTCACAAGGATGTTCTGTGGGGAAATATATGGAGTGGCCCAAATGATATCAGCTCTCGGCAAGAAAAAAATAGGTAAACTCAGGCTGAACCTGTAAGTCCATTCCTTTCAGTTTGGCCTATATTCTCTCTCATCTTTTAGAGGCCTCGTTTTACTAAGAATGATTTATTCAGAGAACTCCCAACTTCACTGGCCCTGGTGAGTACCACACTTGCTCTGCCCTCCTCCTTACCACAGTCCTGGGCACCTCTGACCTTGCACATCCCACTGTCAGCATCTTCTTCGCTCCCCTTAGATCATTTCCGCAATTATTCATTTTGTCTCCTTCTCTCTGCCATTTTTCTTTCTGTTGTTTTTTCCACTGTAGCTTTCCACCACTTCCCTCTCCTCTTTTACTATTTAGGTTAGTCTGAGAATGAATATTCTAAACCATCTCTTTAGGTACCAACAGAGTGAGCCATACCTGGATTTTAGGGACAAGTCCTTGGAAAATGATCACAATACTAATAGCTAATGATCACTGAAAGCTTGCTATGTGCCAGCCCTCTTCTAGGCAGTTTACATCTATTGACTCATTTAAGCCTACAAGGACCCTACCAGGAAGATACAATTAGCCCCATTTTATAAATGAGGAAACTGAGGCACAGAGAGATTGCGCCAGTTAACACTGCTTGTAAGCATTGGCGCTGGAATAGCAGAAGCTCTGGTCAGTTCACCATCATAGTGCAGGCTCGGGAAACGTTTGCTGAGTAAGTGCTCTTTATTTCAATTCCCAAGAACAGCTCATTAGGCCACATGGGGAATTGAGATCGTGAAGGGTGGGTGCTAGCTGTGAGTGCTTTCCAGGGCCTCCTGGGGAGGGCTGGACACGGCATCAGCCCCAGCGCCCGCTCCACCCACTCCTAGGGCAGCTCTAAGGGCCGCCGATCATGCTGCCAACTCCAGGAGGAGGGGTGCAGGGGAGGCGGGAAGCCAGGACTCAGGCCGGAGGTGAGACCGGCTTGTGCTACAGAGCGTTAAAGCCCCAAACGACCCTGGAACATTTGGGGCCTCTGCTCAAACTCACGTCTACAGAAAGTGCTTTGCAGAGGCGCCAGCAAAGGTGGGGCACGGGCTTCCGAAACTAGACTGTCCTGGCTCTGGTTTGGGGCGGGCCCAAGCCTTTCAGGGACTCCAGGAGAAAGGACTCCCCAGTCAGCCTGCATCACTTGGGAAATGGTTCTTGCGTCTTCCTTAGTGAGGCTCCAGAAGATGACGTCTGATCCGGCTGGCCGCCTGCGGGAAGCAGGTGAGCGTGTAGAGCCGCTCCTCTGCAGCTCCCGGGGACCGGGCTGGGAAGCGCCCTGGGCCCCGCTCTTGACCGAGGGGGCGGGGCGGGGAAGGATGCGTCGGATTGGACCGCTCCGTGAGAAGGGCGGAGTCAGGCGTTGCCGGGGATGGAGGGGCGCCGACTGTTGGGTGCGCTACGGAGACCCTCCTCTAACCCGGAGATCCCCAGCCCCGCGGAGCGGGCCACCCGGCTACCCTGGCCGCCATCAGCCACCGCTGCCGCCGTGGGGGGGTTTCAACATTCGCGTTTTCCTCTTTATGGAGGAGTCTCTTCCTGCGCACGAGGGTGGCGTGTCCACACTGCGCGCCACGGCTCCCGGCTTCTGGTGGCGATTTTTCTCTCCCTTGGGGACTCTAGGAGACTGAAGGCTCCGCCTCTCCCGGTCCCCCGTTTCCGCAGCCACGGGGTCCAGAGGTGGCCGCTCCTCGCTTGGTGTCCTGAGGCCCCTCGCTGCGGCCCCAGGCCGGTCCAGGCTGTTCATCCTTTGTGGGTTTCCCGCTCTCGGAAACAGGTTCTGCCCCCTGCAGGTCCGAGCTCCCATCTCCGCTGCCCCGGGAGGTTGATCGGGGCTGGTGTGGGTGAGACGGGGTGGGAGGACTGGGAGAGACACCTTGGGGAGGGGCAGGTTTCGGCCAGAGGTCAGCAACTGAGCTGGGGCGGCCCCGCTGTATTTACTTATTTTAAACATATAGCTAATGTTTGGGGGAGATGGGAAACCTCACACCAGGGGAGGCAATCCCTGCCCGTCCCCCACCCCCGCCCCAGGTAATCTGGGATCCGGCGAGGGGAGGGAGGGAATCCCGATCCTTCTTTCTCTCCACCACATTCACTGGTTAATTGAGTCTTTGCAGAGACCTCCGGGAGCCCACGTGCGGAAGCCGGGCAGCCCCGGACTCCGCTTCCCGGGAGCCGCGTCCCGCCGGCGGGCGGTGTATGGTGGGGACATCAAGGGCGCGGGCCCAGCCGTCCTGGCGACTTTTGATGTAATGTCCTCGTCCCACACTCCAGCCGCAGCCCCAGCTCCAGGATGCCGGCAGGAAGCGACTTTTAGGGAAGATAATATTGATGAAAAGTTGGCACTTCCTCTCTGCTCAGGAAGCGCGAGCTCCGCGCCGGGCCTCGGGGCTCCGTCCTAACCCCCCTGGGAAAGGGGGAGCACGGCAGCGCCAGGCCGGCGCCCCCGACCCTTCAAGAGGCCGATGGGGCGCTTTGTGGTCAATGCCATTACCTTAATTGGGAACTGGCTCTAATAATCTGGCCTCAGCTTGTCAACTGTACAATAGTGGGCAGAGTTAATGACTCATTAGTGATTAATTCCTTAACTGTGACTTAATTGCTCACTGTAAAACCCCTTCCGTAAAACTGGATTAAATCATCTAGATCCTTGGCCACATCTCTCACAGCCCTGGAAGACGCAGCAAGTGCCCAGTTCCCTCCACCCTCCTCAGTCGGCTTCTTAAAGGCAGGCGCAGTGGCCTCAGCCCTCAGCCTGGAAGTCGGGAGATCCGTGGTCCAGTCCTGGCTGTGACATTGCCAGGTCGTCTGATCTTAAACAGGCCCCCCTGTAGAGCTAGATCTCCAAGATCTCCCCTCCTCCCTCAGCACCCCTCAGCACCTCTTGATGGATAAACAAGAGTCTCAGCCTCAAGGATCACGGCCCAAGTAGTGGAAATAAGGATGCAACTGCATGTACATATGTTTCCCTATGCCTTCTGGTTTTCTCCACCTGGCGTCACATAGGCTACCCCATAATAGATGTGTTCAAAACCAGAAGTGTTCTTCTGTACTCTATAGCTTCCTAAACACCTTCTTAAAACTCTCCTCCCTCTTCCCGCATTCAGAGCCACTCAATGGATATGATGAGAATCATTCTGGACCCCTTGAGGCAGGTTATTTTCCACTTTCCTTTCTATCTTATTTCTCAGCCATATATTTTCCAAATTTTAGCTGCCCAGAACAAAAACATCGCCCAGCCTCCCTTTCAATTAGATCTGATTCAATAATGCCCACTGTCGTGGAAGGGAAAACATTTTTAGGAGGTAAGTTCTTAGAAGTCACCAGCATGCCCTGCTCTTCTCCCTTTCCTGCGGTCTGTTGGCTAGGGGGCAGGTGTGACGCTGGCGCTGGAGCAG